CCAGTTGCCTTATTTATTCGAAAAATGTTAATTCTTTCTATACTCCATTATTTATTATGCTCAAAAAAACCAAAAAATAATTTTGTCCAGTTATTTACTCGAAACCACCAAACCGACAATTGGAAGCGGAGAAACTGGACCGATCCGCCTCCAAAAAGAGGATTCCCTAGAATTTTTCGTCCGTAGAATCAAAACGACATTCGACAGAGAGAGAGAAATTTCACGAAAGGAAGAAGGGAGATTAGCTCGATCGAGCGGTGTTCCGTCATCGAAAGGAACGTCGAAAGAGATAAAACCTGCCCCTCCTCCCTCGATCATCGACACCAGCAACGGAGGATCCGATGGAATTCGAAGGGTGAGCCGTTCTCGGAACGGTTTCACGCGCAATCGCGAATCGAGGAAGTGGCGACCGATAATCGCCAGCAACAACACCTCCCCGCGATTAAACTCGATCGTTCAAATATCGAAACGAGTATCTCTTCTCGAAGGCAAGGGGAGCCACCAATACTCGTCCTAACGCCTCGAACAATTTCCAAAGGTAGCTAACCGACTCTTTTATCGTCTCTGCATCCTTTATCCCCCGGATAAATTCTTCCACCAATTCGTTACGCTCGCGTGTGTATATATATTGTTATAGAATTTAAAGTTCAGTGAAATTTTATATTACTACTTCATAGTTGGTAGCCATTTGTTTCTCTTCGATATTTTAAATGTTTTGTAAACAGATACGCTCAATCACGTATAAACAAATATATTCATTCAGCTAAACCCGTATATTTTTATTTACTGTTTTCCACTGCCTAGTCAACATATATATAAAGAAAAAGGAAAAAAGAAATATAAAGACGCGAAAGGAAGATGGAAGATGGACGAGCGAGTTCCCGAAACGAGGCGATAAACTCGTGCGAGGAACTCCTTCGGAGAGGATCGTAGAGAGACCACGCTCCGTCGTGCGTATTCTCGAGGAGTTATATAGAATAGAAGAAGGAGGAGGAGGAGGAGGTGCGAAGAAGCGAACTCGAGCACCGAGGATGAGCTTGTTTTTTCTTTCTCTTTTTTCTTTTTCGACCCGTTCCAAGGAAAAGAAAAAAAGGAGAAGAAGAAGAAGAAGAAGAAGAAAAAGAAACGAACGAGCTTCCGCGCGTTCCTCCGCGGAAGATCCCGTTCCTCTCGAAGGGGAAGCGAAAGGGCGTTTAGCGGGTGGCTAAAATCAACGGCAAACCGAGAGAACCTTTTCAAACGGAACGGTTTCGTTGCTCGATTAGCGGCACGGCGCTAACTATCGAAAGCTGAAAGCGAGAGGGGAAAAATAGTCTCTCTTTTTCTCTCTATACTCCTTCCCAACGAACGTTGAAATCGAACAACGAGGTTGACCGATAATTCGTTTCCACGTAGCAGGGGAGAGGAGAGAACGATCGACGATTAATTATCGCGTATTATCGACGGTTATCGGTCGATATATCCAGGCGAGGGAGGGGGAAGAATCGAGCAAATATCGGGTGGAAAGCGGCCGTGCTTTATCGCTCTCCCCCTGATAAAGTTTGCACAGGAGGCGCGGCAGATATTTAGGGGATGCGACACCTGCGAGCGTCGAGTAGAATTTTAGAATCGTATTTATATATATATACACGCGCAGAGGAGAAACTACGAACGTTAAATAAACGCATCCTCTCTCTTTCGCAACCACCAGTCTCTCCTCTCCTCTCCTCTCTATCTGGCGGCCGTCTCTCTAATTTGTCCGTTCAAACAAAAAGCAATTTGTTACCCAGCGGACTGACTCTTGGTCCGCTTGGCGGTGCGGTGTGTAGCGGTCCAGCGCGAGACGGGCACGGGGAGGAGGGAGGGACCGAGAGGAGCGGGAGGAAGACGGGATACGAAAAGAGAGGAAGAACGCGCACGAGCGAGAGAGAGAGAGAGAGAGGGACGAAGGAGGAGGAGGAGGAGGTAGCGGCTGATTTAAACCTGTCTGGCGGCCCGCTGCGCGGTTAACAGCTGGAAAACAAACAGGGCGCCGGAGAGAGCGCGCCGGGCAGCGGGATCCCGCGTATGCCGCGCGCACCGAGACCATACAGTGCTTCTGATACCTCTCCCTCCCCCCAATCCGCGCTCTTCTTGCCTCCTCGCAGTGTGCATTTTGTCCCCGCGGAAACTGCCAACCGCGTACCGTTTCTGCTTCCGCCGCGAAAAGTCGTCCAATTTTTTTTTTCCATCCCCTCCTCCCCCGATCTTGCCAGGAGCAGACAGAGGATCTACGTCTCGATCGAAAAGCTATTCAATCTTGGAGGAGATCTCCAAGTATCGCAACGATGGCAAAACTTACCCCTGGGGTGTTAGCTTCCGCGCCGAAAGGATACTTGGTCCACTCGAGCTTCTCCTCTTGCGTCGTGTCCAAGAGAACAACTGAAACGAGAGAAAGAAACAAGGTTGATCGAACTGAAGGATTTCTTTTATTTCTCTTTCTTTTTTTGCAAGGAAAAGAGAAATACAGAGAGGTTAGAGAAAATATGAAAATATCGTCGTGATCAAGGCGCTTGGTCAAGGTGATTTCCTCGACTCGACCAAATATATATATATATATATATACACTCGTCGGTGTGGGTATCGAAAACGCGCGGGAGAGCCTTTAGCGAAGATCGTACCGTGAAAAGTCAACGTTTGAGGGGAGGAGGGAAGGGGGAACGACTCCCTCTCAAAATGGCGGATCCTCGAGACCGTCGTGCTAAAACACCTTGCTTCTCTCGCCAGCTCTCGTTTTTCCCCCTTCCTGTATACGANCGATTATCCCCGACCTCGTCGAGACACCGCGTCGAAACACGGCAGGAGGGAGAGGGGAGGGGTGAAAATAATTGTCCCACCGCCACCTACCTACCTATCTATCCATCCATCCCCTGCAATCTCTTCCTGCCGAATTTTTACCGCCAATTTTCCCCGGAAAGGGAATTCCAAAGTATTTCCTCTTTCGAGTCGCGAGAAAAATTATACGCGGACGAATGGAATCGATGAAGGAAGGAAGGAAGGAAGGAAGGAAGGAAGGAAGGAGAGATATATTCGTGAATTCTCGCGAGATATCCACTCGAGGCGAAGCCACTCGACCCGATCTCTTCTCCAAGTCGTCTCATTGTGTGTAATGGGCTTTGCAGCGCCCCCGCCTAATTCGAGCACTCTCGAGAACTAATTCGGATACATCCCAAGAGGGTATGCCAGCTACGAATTCGCAGCAAAGTAACAAGATCCAAGATCCTCCCCTCGCCTCCCCTATAAACTTTCCGAACCACCCGCTTTGGATTGACCCGAACTCTGGCTCCGCAGAGTTTACCTCTCCTCCCTCGCGCGACGAGACGACGAGTGTTTCGTACACGCTCGAAAAACGATGATCGAGGAGCACCTCTCGAGTTGAATCTTCGATGAAGAGGACGTGGTCCATCGTTAACGAACCGCGTAAATTATGCCACTTGCCTCTATGCTTATTGCTTGGATGGACGGAGCAATTCTTTCGCGTGGCAGGATCCTCGAAAGATGAAATCGAAATAAGTTTCAAACGAGAAGAAAGGAAAGAAGGGAAGACGACAACGCGTGGGGGTTGTTTTTAGGAGGTGATCGAAGGCGATTTTTCTTTTTCTTTTTCCACCCATTTTATTTAGGAGATAAGAATCGTGGATCTTTCGAGGAACGAGCGAGAGGATTGCGAGATGGGACGCGAGTCGTCAGAATTATCGAAGCGGAGTGGAAACGGAGAGGATCGCGGTGAAAACGAGGATGTATCCGTATTTCGTCGTCGGATCTTCCTTTTCTTCGTTCCTCTTCTCCTCCTCCTCCTCCCCTTTCTCCACCCCTACACGCACTCCCGCGAATACGTAAGAGGGCTGGCGCGCGTGTGTGCGAGTAACCGGTGTACGACGCGGTCCCGTGAGACGTACCGAATTTAAATTTCAAATTTGGAGCGTGTCGCTGGGTGTGACGGTATGCATAGCGTTGCCCGCCGGCCCTAACTCACTCCACACCGATCGCTCGTCTCTCTTCTCTCCCACGGGCTCCCCGTATATCCGTCCGTCTATCTATCTTCCTTCCTGCCCGCCCGCCTGCCTGCGTGTCTTCTTCTCTTCCCTTTCTCCGTTCGAAGAGGGAGGAAACATCCACGATCCACGATTTTTCATATTATTCAAATAAGAGAATAGCGGGGTGTAGGAGATACGCGAGCGAGAAAATTGGAAAGTCTTTCATTCTTACCGAATATCTCCTCTCTCAACTATTTATCCTCTTTTGGTTTCGATCCTTGGTGAGGTTTCGATTGTGAGAAGGGAGCGATGAAAAAATCGGTCGGAAAATCGGCGTCTTAACCGTTTATCCTCTTTTGGTTTCGATCCCTAGTGAGATTTCGATCGTGAGCAGAGAATGATGAAAAAATCGGTCGGGCATCTTAACCGTTTATCTTCTTTTAGTTTCGATCTCTGGTGAGGTTTCGATCGTGAGGATAATAAAATCGGTCGGGAAATCGACGTCTTAACCATTTATCCCCTTTTGGTTTGCTTTCTGATGAGGTTTCGACCGTGAGGATAAAAAAAATCGGTCGGGAAATCGGCATCTTAACCATTTATTCCCTTTTGATTTGCTTTTTGATGAGGTTTCGATCGTGAGCAGAGAATGATGAAAAAATCGGTTGGGCGTCTTAACCATTTATCCTCTTTTGGTTTCGATCCCTGATGAAATTTCGATCGTGAGCAGAGAATGATGAAAAAATCGGTCGGGCGTCTTAACCGTTTATCCTCTTTTGGTTTCGATCCCTGATGAAATTTCGATCGTGAGAATGAAAAAATCGATCAGGAAATCGACGTCTTAACCGTTTATTCTCTTTTGGTTTAGTTTCCATTCCTGGTGAGGTTTCAATCGTGAAAATGAAAAAATGAAAAATCGGTCGAGAAATCGACGTCTTAATCGTTTAACTTCTTTTGATTTCGATTCCTGATGAAATTTCGATCGAGAAATCGACGTTTTAACCGTTTATTCCCTTTTAGTTTCGATCCCTGGGGAAATTTCAATCGTGAGGAGGGAACAATGAAAAAATCGGTCGGGAAATCGGCGTCTCAACCGTTTATTTCCTTTTGGTTTGCTTTCTGATGAGGTTTCGATCGTGAGGATAAAAAAAATCGGTCGGGAAATCGGCGTCTCAACCGTTTATCTTCTTTTGGTTTCGATCCCTGGTGAGATTTCGATCGTGAGCAGAGAATGATGAAAAAATCGGTTGGGCATCTTAACCGTTTATCTTCTTTTGGTTTCGATCTCTGGTGAGGTTTCGATCGTGAGGATAATAAAATCGGTCGGGAAATCGACGTCTTAACCGTTTATCCCCTTTTGGTTTGCTTTCCGATGAGGTTTCGACCGTGAGGATAATAAAATCGGTCGGGAAATCGGTGTCTCAACCGTTTATTCCCTTTTGGTTTGCTTTCTGATGAGGTTTCGACCGTGAGGATG